GTTATTCCTCATAATAATGCTTTTATTTCCATTTCTGAGTCTTTGGTGTTACCTGATAAAGTTCAGTCTTCAACATTTTTGTAAGCAGCTGGGTTCCCACCACTGCTTTGAAAATTTTTCTAATAAAATATAGATTTTTTTTGAAGTATTGAATCAAATGTAGCATTTGCATACCTGATGTTTTGAAGTTTTGTTGTCCCTCATGGAAATAAGAGACAAATTCTGGAGTAAGAAAAACACAGAAGATATAAAATTGATAAATTGCAAATGATAATAAAATAATTTGTTTCTTCTCATGTCATCAACAACTTGTCTTCTAAGATCCAAACTTCCATTCTTCCAACAATACTTTTCCCTAAGTATAAGTACAACTCTTCCATTGAAAGTTGTCATCTTTTTCAATTCAATTCAAAGTTCTCTATTGCAATGTTTGCCCACCTCAAAGTAAGAAATCTTTATCCCCACCAACTACACTCAGAATTATGCAAAATTTTCAAGCAATCCTTCGTCTCTATCTTGATGTGGAGTTCTGGAGCCTTCCTTCCGATAATTTGGATCATCACATATTTTCCAATACAACCACTTATAATCTAGAGTATGATAGAACATGCAATCATAAATCCAAATCCATTAACTAAATAAATGTGATCACCAATACCTAATTCGTTGTCTAATGTGGTGACCATGCTTTTCAAGAAATCCCAAAAAGGCAAGCTGAGGACATTACTCTAATACCTAGCTTGAAATAAAGATGGGACATTTACATAGGCACCACCCAATTCCTATGTATTTACATTTCTAACTCCTGAAATTTACCTTTTTTACTTTTTCACAACCCAAATCTTACATATCACATAAAAACACCACATTTTCAACTTTTAAAAAGCTATACTCATTCTTCCAAGAAGATGAAAGATGGCATGACATGCATATTCATCACATTGGATTGTTTACATATTCATTACCGTGCACATATGCTTACATTTTTGTAGCTACTTATTCTATTATTTTCTCATACCAAGTTCCCAGCGCGCCTTTGCAAGGTAAACCCAGTCGCAATCAAGACATTTGATGATCACAAAACCTACTTTGAAGCAGGCAAAATGGACTACATCAAATTTCGTGTCGATGAGACAAAACCACTCAATAAGATATAATTTAATATAATAAATATACCCTCATATTAAAGAAAAAATATATAAAAAATAAAAAAATAACAAAATCATAATAATTTCCTTCTTGAATTTCTGAGGATTTCTTGGATGAGCTAACCCATGGTTACTAACAAAAGTCCTCCGGCCTAAGAAAATTTAACAGCTTTTTTAGACTAAGTAAATTCAAAACTAATAATTGTGCCGCGATGATGGAACCATGAGATCTTGAATGACGTCGCTTATTATAAAATAAAATCACCCATTTTAATCACTTAATAATAGGAATCGTCAATTCAAAATACACTTTACAGGATCACAACAAACAAATAATAAGAACCTAGGATAAACCTCCTGATGTATGGCTTTCTCTTTCATTTCATGGAATTAGGTGAGGATGCAATCGAGTTGCTGTTAACCTTCAAGACAGTCAAGATAAAACATGAAGCAAATGATGAACCTCTACTAAACTTTTCATGGGCTTAAATAACATAAACCTTTAGGACTTCAAGGTCATTCGTTTAAGCATGACATAAATCCTCACACTATCTTTTAGGTCTTCCCATGGTTGTATGTCATCCGATGTTAGCCTTAACTCTTTTTAGGATCTTGATGTTGTTGTTCGGTACAACGTAAATCCTTCTATCTTCTTAGGATATTTGCATGATTGTATGTCCTGCAAATATAAGCCCTAAAATTTAAATAAATTGAAAGAGTAAAACATTGAATAAGCTCACTTCCAAAATGTAAAATCAAACCATAGGATAGTTTGAGAAGTCACTGAAGTCTTCTAAGTATATGTGACATCTCATATCTTTCAATCTTTTGGATTCCAGAAATATTTATTCCACATTGAGTCATTCCTAGTTGATTTTCCTATAAACAATCGTGAACATCAAACTTTGAATTCTTGAAGACAAAATACCGATCTTAATTGAAAGTTTTTTTGAGTGATTTCAATTATTTAAGATGTAATTAACTATTGGAGCTTGCGCCTATAAGAGAATTAGTAACCCAAATAGTCTAAACTTTATATAATCTTCATATTAGGTAGGAGAATGATCTGTTAGAAATTTGTGCCTATAGGAGAATTAGTGATTTCAAATGTCTCACTTTTCAAAATTAATTTTCTATATTTATATTAAATTAAGTTATTTTCATTTACAAAAAAAAACTAACATGATATTAACAAATAACAACAAACTTTTTATCTCACTAACGATGGTCAACTAAATGAATGTTTTTTCTAGATTACATCATAACGAGTGTCACGTTTTTATATAATTCTATTAAGTTAGGATTATTTTTTAAGCAAAACATTCTAATCTTTTTAGGTATATTTTTACATTTCATAAGCCAAATCTAATATATATCTCTTAACATGGTCATCAAATGGTCAATGTTTAATGTGATGAAACCATCTAAGATGACTCTCTAATTTTGTCCGTCATTGGAACTACTACAATCATTTAACAGATATATTTATTTTACATTTTGTCTCTAAATGTAAAGCAACTCATTCATTTAAGCATTCAAATCTCAGCAAAACTTAATTATATGCACATCTTTTACAAGCCAACATTTTGACCCTCAAGCATTGAAGGTCTCATCAACATCTTATAAATTTTTTCCTTCAAGTCTAAGTAATAATGTGATGTAAATTCTTAACTGTATAGGAGGTGTGTTGTCTTAAGACGAGAAAGAAAGATCTTGAAGTGTGATATATTCTCGAGGAAGGGTTATGAGTATGAAGGGAGCTCTTATGCACAAGTCAACAGAATTAAGCTTATCATCAACACTTTGAACATAAAAATAATGAAAGTATAATATTAACTCTAATTTCTATTTCTACTTTCGTCAAGGTTGTCTTTAATTCAGGCTCCATTATTTCTTGAGGATGTGACATCTTTCTTTGAATATGTGAATAGGTTGAGATGTGGTTTTTAATCCAATATTACCTGTATGAAGAAGTGACACACAAACTTTGGAGTAGAATGTTATCACTAACGATGGCGACTTCTTTTTATCCTCAATATTTGGAACATTTTAAAGGGACATTGAGATAAAAGGAGACACTTTAGGTGATAAATGAATTACATTTTAGGTCTTCTGAAGAAATTTTTTGATAAAAAAGTGTTTTAGATGATAAGTGATTTACATGACACACTGACAAAGATTATGTAGATCTCATGCTGTCGAACACCCCTAAGGAAACTTGTTTTAACTCTCGACTTTATCTCAACTCTATGTATTCCTATTACTTATATTTAACTTCCATAATTATAAATCACTGATATCTATTTAAATTTAATTGATAAGAATTTATTAATAATTTCTTTTACAATTTTGCAACTATTCATTAATTTTTACGTATAATATATAACATAAACACACTGATGTACATAGACCTAGAGTTTCCTTTCTCAATTAGAAAGAAAGAACTAAAAAATAAGAATTCTTTAGCTCCACATCGAACCTTTTTGGGAATTTTGGTCAGCTTAAGACAACTTTCTGTCAACTTTATTTTTTAAGACCGCTGCTATAGCTCTATTTAAAAAAAATGTTTTATTGTTGTTTTTTAGAAATTTCTGTGATAGAAAACTATTTTTTTTTCAAATAGACATATTAAAGCATGTTGGCTGTTAGAAAGTTACTGTCTAACTTTTTTAAATTAAAATATATTTGTTATAACCATCACATCTTTTTGAACAACAATTTGTTCAGAAGCAGCTTCACAACTACTTATTCAAATATTGTGGCTACCCCAAACAAACTCTAAGTGCAATCCATCCAATTACTACATGTTAGCTCACTCAATTTTATGTTCATGTGCTTGCTTGTTCGAATCCACTTATGCTCGGTCAAAATTAGATGCTTGCATGTAAAATACCTTTAAAATATAATATAATCTTTACATATTAATATCATTATAAAAAAATTAAATATTCTTATTCTTGTATAAGTTTAAATTAAAGTTGTTATTTTAATTTTAGGAATATGTCACAATTAAAAAAAATGTCTTGATATGAATTATATCTTAACATTCTATCTACATCATGATCTAATATTCTACTTTTTATGAAAATTTGGATAGTGTGATTAGTTGATTTTTGATACACATTTTATGATATTTAAGGGCTATTTGTTTGACTATATTTAAAATTAATGTACCTTAAAATGTAAATAAATTTAAATACATAAATCTTACAAATATAAAAGTTGCTTAGTTGAAAAAAAATCACATGCCTAGTATGTATATATATAATTAATTTGTAAAGTATATATATACCTTCCCTAATGCTTTGAATCATATTATCTACAAATAATACATAAAATTTTTGAAAATTTTATGTACATGCCATATAATTCTAATACACTTACATATCAAACACAATGTTGGATATTTACCCATAACATTCGGAGCATAAATGTATATATGATGAGTCACATTTAACTTTTATAAAGTTAATAATAATAAATATTTTTTGATGTGATGTTAAAATTTTGAGTGTTATAAATATAAACATACAAGCTTAAGTGTTACATAAAATAATTGTGATATATATATATATATATATATATATATATATATATGTAAATAAATAGTTTAATTCTTAAAACAATTTCAATAGAATTAACGTTGAAAGCCATGTAGTCCTTTCAAAGCCGAATATTGGATCAGCGAAATGGGCCTTGGGCCTCCAGGAACCTTCGCGAAGAATTCGACAAAAAAATTAAATTTCGATAATACCCTTAAAATCACTCCAGAATAAAAGTACAATTTAGTGTAATTTCGTCTCAAGAAACGTGGTCTTTATGTAAATTCGTAAGCCTTCCCTCCTTAAACCCTAAATCCCTAAGAAACTTCAAGAGGCGAACAGAACTCGAAGCTCTTCGCCGCAATCTCAATCTTCATCGCGACCGCAAATGGCCAAGCGATTGATCCCCTCTCTGAATCGCATTCTGGTGGAGAAGATAGTTCCTCCTTCGAAGACCAATGCCGGCATCCTTCTCCCGGAGAAAACCAGCAAGGTAAAGTTAGATTCCTCAAATTTTTCTGGTTTTGCTTCCGTCGTTTATATTTTCTGTTGTATTTTTGTTTATGACGGTGCAATGGGATTTGATACTAGGATTGAATTTTATCCGAAACTGATGTATCGATTTGGATTATGTTTCCTATGTTAGTTTTTTGTGTATCTCTGGCGAATCTTATGCGCACAGTGAAACGTACTGCTGCTACATGTTTGGTTTCGTATAAAGATATGAGTCGAATATTATGTGAATTGTTTTCTAATTTATTTTATGTTGAACGAAAGATTTAAAGACGAAAAGCATATTCTAGCCAAGGGTTGTTGGATTTAAAATTGGTTTTTTTTTTTTTTGGACTTTACACCATGTTTTAACCACCTAGTGATGCCTTTATCTATTTATGGTTTTTGAACTTTGAATTCAATCTACATTGAGCGGTGTTTATCTCTAGCTGGTATTGATTTGTAGGAATTAAGCAGAAAAGAAAACGTGGGTTGCCTTAAAATTGCATCTTGATCTTCTGTTTCGGGTTTGAACAAATTGATTTTAGTAGAAATTAAAACGCATGTATCTGTTTATTTTTGGTCCTTTTTGGATGTAGGAACTGAGGGGAATGTTATTGCTTTTGTTGAATCATAAATTGTCTTATTTGAACACTCCCTGAGAGTTTAGGATTGAGTGAAGGAGGGAAAGGAGAAATAGAGAAATGGAGTAGAGCAAGCCAGGAGTTTTCTATAGAGAGAACCGGTGAATGTGTCTTTGTTCGTATTTTTGCCTCTTATTTACATAGAGGTATTTTATATAATTGCATGAAGAAATTATGAAAACCGCTTGTAATACAATTGTTGTTTTTACTAATCGTATGAATTTCATATTATATGAGTATTATAATTTAAATCTTAATATGGCAATAATTTTGTTGGCCGACTTGCTCGAATTCCACCGACTGAAGTGAGCGGTAGAGTGGTGACCACACTATGGGTTAGTCGGCTCATATGCTCAGTTGAGTGTCTATCTCGTCAGCCATGAAAAAAGTGGATCAGCTGATTGACCGCGACCAAGGGTCTCTGCCTGCGCTCTTGGTTGGTCGGGACTGCAAGCAAGGCCTATTGTTTGAATCTTCCGCCATAGTGTGTCGGCTGATGCTTGATTTTACGATCGGTTGCAGCACGGTAGGACACCCCGATTGACTGGTTGTTGTCCGAGCTGTTCGATTGTTTTGAAATTTGTGCCAAGTACTTTGTGTATATATTAGTTCCCCAAATTTTTTTGCTACTTGAAAGTGACAACTACGAAAAGGAAGTGAAAATTGTTAGTTTTCAATGGTACTAAGCTCGAGGAGACTAGTTTAATAATTATCCTTTCTTTAAATTCTGCGCTCAATGTGCTATATAAATAGGGTCACAAGCTTGATCACATTTGTTGCTAGTACTCCCTGGATAGTTGAATTACACCATGGAGGATGATATGAGAGAACTCTATGTGGATCCTAAGATTCTTGCCGAGGCGGGCTATGGACTCGGCTTCACAAAAGAGCAATGTTAGGAAAGAGAATCGGTCGAGGATTGAACTTGCTCCGACAGACCAAGTCGACTCATCTGGGGATCCTGAAGGCGTGGTGTGAAAGGTCCCTCATCTGGAGGCCATGGTTCCTGAGCCCGACAAGGGAGTGGGTTCCAAGGGCTAGCAGGACCTGCTCGCTGGGAGAAAAATTTGCGTACGTAAGACGTACGCAGCACTGCGTACGTCAGGGAGGTTATTTAGATGGTATTGGTTAGTTGTATTCGTGTTATACCTCCTGTAACCTACAAATATATGAAAATAGAAGCGCGAAACTTACTAGATGGTACATGTGGGTTATATCAATTTCCCCGAGTGTTTCAGAGCTGAGGCATTGAAGTAAGAAATTAGCTTCTTTCATTGTGTTAATCGAAATTGCAATAAGTAACGATACTTCTTGTCATGCATACAAGGGATACATTAAGAAACCAAAAAGTTTTTCAAGGAAATTTTTTTTAGTTGTCTCCACTCATTAGCCATGGGAGTTCCTTTCCAATGTACGTCTTCAGTCGATATGCCCCATGTGAGACGTTTTGGCTAACTATATAAGACACTCTCCAAGTCTGGCCTAACTTACCTACTGCTTGCCCTTGGACTGTTGGGTTGAATTTTTTTAGGATAAGATCAATTCCGGTACATGTTTGTCGAATTAACGGTTAATTCACCTCTTGACTTCCTTCTATCAGAGCACTGAGCGGTTTTGAGTTTCTTTCGCAAGATCGAGGGCTAACATTGCATGCTGTCACTTGATTAGTTCATCCCTGAGGAACAAGGAGTCCGTAACGATCCTTTGGTTGTGATGATCATATTCGACCGGTAGCACAATCGTCCATTGGGTTAGCATGAACGGAGTTTGTCCGATTGCTACAGAAGGAGTCGTTTGGATTGCCCAGAGAATCATTGGCAGTAGATCCACCCATTTTTCCTGGTCTCTTTTGATCTTTTTCTTTAATAGATTCAGAATGAGTTTATTAACTGCTTCGGCTTGCCCGTTCGTCCGACGATGTTGGACCTAAATGAACTTTAAGTTAATTCCTTGCCTCGCGCAGAAGTCTTTCACTCGCAAAATGAGTCACATTATCGGTGATGATGATGATGAGCGACAGCTCACATCTGTAGATCAAGTTGGATCATATGAAATTTGATTCTTCGAGAGTTGACAAGAAGCTGAGCCGCTCGACGCCCTGAAGGTGCATTTGAAGGTGTTCAATCTCATATTGAATTGTTTGAGATTTGAAGGTTTCTTTCAGATCTTCATGTCTTGTTTAACTATCTCTCTTAGCTAGCTCATCGTCAACATACAACTCAACATTCTTTACTTTTTTATTAGAAAAATTATAGCCATGAGGCGCTGATAGGTCGCTCCGGCCTTTTTAAGCCCGAATGACATTATATTAAAACAAAATTTGTCTTGTGAAGATCTTGTGCAATAATAAATGCCGTTTTTTCTGCGTTGGTCGGGTGCATTTTTATCTGATGGTAGCCGGAGCAACCTTCAGGAAACTCATTATCGAGTATCTGACTGATGTGTCCACCAAGGTGTCAATCTTTGGCAGGGGGTGGGTGTCCTTTGGCCAAGCGTCATTAAAGCTAGTGAAGTCAACATACATCCGTCATTTATTATTGGCTTTATTGACCATCACATCATTTGAGAGCCAATTTGTGTACTGGGCTTCGTGATGTAGCCGACTATTAGCAGCTTCTGCACCTCTGTCGCTATCGGTTTGGCTAAAGTTCTAGCGGTGGATCGAATTTTTTGATGAATCGTCCCAGAATAGGGTTTGATGTTTAGTCGATTGATGCTGCATCGATTGAAACAGCAGGCATCTCCACTGCGGTCCAAGCAAACACTTCTTAATGCTCCCAAGTGTCTGTATCAGTTGGCTCCCAAACCCTGTATCGAAATGTTCACTAATTAGGAAGACCTTACCAGTTCTTCTCGGACACAAGTATCTGGAGGACAACCTTACTAGTCCCTCTCTCTGGATATGGATATCGAGTGGTTAATGGTTAACGCTTGAAACCGCTATAAATAGCAGCTTCTAGACTGGTCTAGGTTCCCTCGGACCGTAATCACCTACTAGTCGGCGAGGAATTTTATGGCCACATGGTAGGTAGAAGTCACGCTCGGTAGCTGTTCAATAGTGGCTAACCAAAGATAACGTTGTAGGTCAACGGGGTTTCCACTACGAGAAATTCCTTCGTGTTGTCATATTGCGTTCTTGTTTCTCCCCAATACATGGCTAGGGCGATGAGACTCAGTGCCTCCTTCCTTTCCTTGGAAAATCCGAACAACGGGTTGATCGGTGTTGTCAATAGGACGACCTTCATGCCCATCTTATAGAACATTGTTTTAAATATTCACCGAACTTCGTGTATCAACGAGAATATTACCCGCTTGGTTGCTACAGTTTATTGTTGTGTTGACACTCGCCTCATTGTGGGGGTTCTCCTTCAGTGGGAGATTTGCTTCCGTGACAACAATTGGTAAATGGTTACGTATGTACGAGACGACATAGCATGCCTCTTCCGAATGCCGTCTTTTCAAGCTGGAGGGTCGGGGTTGGGATTATTTATGCTACATGGACCTCATTCGCTTAGAAAATCTCGTTTGAGGGTTCTTTTGTTGGAGCTTTGCCCTGCCGCTATGTGTGCGCGCTAACTACAATAAATTCTTTGAGCTTCTCAGCGCGAATGAGCTCCTCAATTAGATTTTGGAGTTGACGACATCCCTCCGTGTTGTGGCATTGGTCATGGTGATACTGGCAGTATCTCTTCAAATCTCGTGAGGTCGGGCCGACTTTAACAATGGGGCCGGTTTTAAATAGTCTTTATTTTGGATGGTCTGGATTATTTTGACCATTGACATGTTGAGATGCGTTAAACCCTTCATTTCCCAATAAACATGTGGTCGCTCGTAATATTGGGTCGAGCGTTGATCAGAGCGTCGCTTCCAGTTGTAGTGCCCTCGATCATTCACCCTTTGATCCCAGGAAGCGAGAGTTGTTATTTGGGCGACTGACGAAGGACTGATTGTCCTTCACCTTTCACGTTTCTCCTCTTTCTTTCCCTTTCTTTAAGGGATGGTTGGACGACTCTCGCTTACCCTTCGGGGAAACCTGAAGATATTCGATGAGTATGCTCACATTCGTCATCTCCAATACCTCTGCAAAAGTAGTAAGTTTAAATAGGTTTAGCTCATACCTAAATCGCTTGCTTCGGACTCCTCATTTCAAAGATGCTTCGGTTATGTCAGACGTCAGATTTCTAACTTACAACATGTTCTTGAAGCCAGTGATGTAGGTCTGCAGGCTCTCGTTTTCTGCTGACTTGATTGTCTGGAATAGGCGGGTTCCTCAGTGGCGCCCTTTGGGCATAGACCCCTTGAGGTTCCGCTTCCAGACGAGACGCCTGGCCGTTCCTTAAGTGATTGCTTCTCTGAGGACCTCAAATTGCTCAATAATGAGAGTCATTTGGGCTTGTAAGCTCTGGACCTGTGCATGGATGTCTAGTTATGTAGTATCTCTATTGGATTCCATGTTTGTTATTTCTCTTGGAAAATGTCTCCTTCTTAACTTTCCCACTTCTCATCTGTGGCATGATCCACGCTCACCGCACCATCTTTTTAGGATATTGAATCCTAAATTGTTTTTTTAAACACGCCTCGAAATTTTAGGATTAAGGGAGGGAAGTGAGAAAAAGAGTAAAACAAGCCATGAGTTTTCTATAGAGAGAATCGGTGAAAGTCCCTTTGTTCGTATTTTTTGCTTCTTTTTTAAAGAGGCGTATTTTATACAATTACAGAAAATAGGGATCATTTATGGAAACCACTCGTAATAAAATTAATGCTCTAACTAATTATATGGATTTCATATTATATGGGTATTAGAATTTGAATTTTAATATGACGGTAATTTGGTAGATACTGAACTGAGATGACTAAATGGCTACCATGCCATGGGTTGGTCGATTGAGGCGTCCGGTTGAGTGTCGATCTTGTCAACTGTTTTGAAAGTGGATCGACAGATTGATGGCGACGAGTGGTCCCTGTCTGCACTCTTGGTCAATCGGGAGGATCTCCCGCCATAGTGTGTTGGCCGATGCTTGATTTCGTGGTATGTTGTGGGACGGTAGAACATCCCGATTGTTTGGCCTTCATCCGGGTCGTTCGATTGCTTCGAGATTCGTGCCAACAACTTTGTTGTGTACAGTTTTTTAGCTTAATAGTTATGATTTTAGAATTTGTTTATTTCTTCATATGTATTAATGGGAAATTGGATTTTACCTTCAAAGTTCGAACAAATGCCCTTTTTATCTTTAGCAATTCTCTACATAATCCTAGTGATAAACCGGAAGATCGACAGAAAAAAGAATCGTTTGTCCCTTCTTCGCAATAAAAATCCTTACTAATTTCTCGCCAACCAACATGAAACAAGTTTTTTTCACATGAATTTTCCTCAATCAAACAATGTGGCAAACCATATTTAATCCAATTTCCTTATTATTTTCATTACCATATTCTTCTGGCTCTTCCAACCATATAGAGCTTATGAAAATTTGATTTGCCAACATTATTAAGCTGTTTTCATTCTTCAATTTATTGTTATTAAAAGTAGAGTACTTTTTCATTCAATTTCTCCTATACTAAACAAGCAGGCAATGCTACTTTCAGTTAAATCCATTAACCATTTTAATTTAAAAGAAATTGCTGTTATGATTTATTACTGTCTACTTGTTTCCTCTCTTGTATTGAAATCTGTTTTTTTTTTAATCTGAATTCTTTTCTCATGGTACAGCTGAACTCTGGGAAAGTTGTGGCTGTTGGCCCTGGAACCCGTGATAGAGAGGGGAATCTTATACCTGTAGCCGTGAAGGAAGGAGATGTTGTTCTTCTGCCTGCCTGACTATCTGACTATGGTGGTACTGAAGTGAAACTCGGAGAGAAAGAGTATGCGGATTCATGCCTTTTAATTTATCAGTTCTTCAGTTAATTTATATATCCCCTGAGCTTATTTGCATGATTTATGCCCATTATTTTTTATTTTGGGCCTATTATTAGTTATAATTTTCATGATTGATGAGTGTGTACATATGAATGTAACGGATATGGAAGCAATTCACAAATGAACGTTTTTGCTTGAACAGCCATTACAATGTTCTTATGCTAGCCATGAAAAATGAATGTTCATGAGCGTCTTAATTCTCACAATAAGTTTATTTTTTTATTGTAGCTTGTATAGTGATATTATAGAAATTCAGTTGGGATTTGCTTGCATCATTGGACTACAACAACCGACTTAATGTTAAGGAATAAAAGGACAGCTCGTAGCTAACTTAATAAAAAGGTCAACAAAGAAAAAAAAAACTTTTATATTGCATCAGCACTAGTTCTGGCATTAAATGTACTTATTAGATTTCATAATGTTGACAAACTTATCATACCAAGCCCTTGGAGAATATTTCAGGTCATAAAGTGACGTTCCTGGTTTACAATTCAAATGTTTATTTGGGTCATTTTGCAGTCCTGATCGGATTTTCATATATATTCTTTTTAAGTCCTCTGTTTAGAAATGCATTATTGATATTAAGTTGATGTAGTTCGTACTCTTCCTTCACTGCAAATGGAAGAACTTTTAAAGTGTTAAACTTGACTATTAGAGCAGAGGTCTCTTGCTACTAGCCTATCCTATAAGACTGAGTGAAACTTATAGCTACCAACCTAGTCTTAAGCCTCTCAATGCTCTCATCTACTTTAAACTTGACATTGAACACCCATTTGCACTTAACATTTTTTTTATCTGAAGGAAGTTTTGTAAAGGTTCATGAGTTTGGATCTTCTCTTTAATTGTCTTTTTCTATTATGGATTTTGAAGTACTTCACGAACAAACTTGTGTATTTGAACACTATCAAGATTATTTATAAAAGATTTAAAAGTTGGTGTTAACTTTCTAACATAATCCTATATAGGATAATTTTTGCAACTTTTTTATATCTTTTTTATAGGATTTCACCTCCCTTATAACTTCAGAGATATGTGAATTTAGGTTTGGTTGTGAATATTCATATAGTTGTATTATATCTTTATCTTGTTCGGTTGATTTTTTTTTCTCCTAGTATACACACAAAATTCCTTTTTATCAATCTCAAATTCGATATTCTAAGTGGTGAAACTTGATCAACATAATGGTTAGAGAGAAGTAGAATAGTTTTATTATAACTCTAGATTAGTGGGACTATCCAGAACAATGTCCCAAGTTTGATATTCATCCGAACCCTTCCTCTTAATATCAGACTTGGGGTAGGATGATTGTTTTTCAGAGTTATTAATTTTTTTTTTGTATGGAAGAATAACTTGTATCCCTTTTTTTGTTAGAAGTATATCCAAGGAAGATACATTTGATGGATATTGTGTCAAGTTTTGTGCAGTTTGGTTTGTGAATGTGAACAAAAGAGACAATTAAATTTTTTTAGGGGAATATTGGATGAGAAGGCTCTGATATGAGGGTATGTTTCAATCATAATATCGAAAGTGGCTTGAATCCAAGGAATCTATTTGGTGTTTTATTAATGAGGTTGGTGGCTATAAGTATAATATTTCGTCAGAAATTATATGGGACGTTGTGATACCTCAAGATGTATATTCTTCCTCTCAGCTACGTCATTCTGTTGCAAAATTTCAACACAGGAACTCACATGGATAATACCGTTTTTTGCAAGGCAGGGTCTAAGTACATTTGAATTATTCATTTATATTATCAGTTTTGAAAATCTGAATATTGTATTGAAAGTGAGTGAAATTTATGCAATGGAAGGACGGTAAAATTTGTTCATTTTTGGATTTTTTTCTTCATAAGGAATATCCAACTAGTTCTGGCCATCAATAAAACATATAAACCATCCGGCTCTATTAACAATTTTTCAAAATTTGCTCAAGTGAACTTCAAATTTATGTTAATTTAAATTTTTTAATTATAGAAATCTGTTTTGTTACTTTAAAATACCAGCTTATAAAAATATAATCATAATTGCTTAAAAAAATTTTTAAGATTATGAAACATATGTTTATTATTAATATAAATCTAATGCTTGATTACTTTTTTTTTTTAAAATTTTTGTCTTTGCTAAGCTTAAGCAAATCTTGTCTTCTACTGGGTGTATAAACGTAAGTCAAGTTTGCCAAACCTCCTCTAAAAATGTTTATTCGTTCATCTTTCTTTCTACCTATGCTTTATTGATGGAAAGCAAATGCTTAAACTTGTAACGTGATTCATATTTTCTAATCAATTGAAATGTGTTCAGACATGTAATAATATTAGGTTTAGTCTCACTTTGAATATATGAAAATTATTTTGGTGTGAAAATATCGAGTCACTAATGAGTTTCATCTTTTTGGATTTAGAAAAAATAAAGGGAGACAACTTTGGCCTCCCTTTGGGTTTTCATTTCCCACAGTTATCATTGCTAAAAGCTTTCTATTATTTGATCGAGTGGAGGATCATGATCCGTTTCATTTGTGAATTCTCCAAGCCTTTTCACTTTTTATCGCAGTTGAATATATAGATCAAGAGCGGGTTAACTCTTATGAATACTATGCTATTTAGTGAGCTATTGGGACATGAAAATCAATTTGATTAAAAAAAAAACTTTTGTTGTATTGGCTGGTAGAGTGATGATGTATGGAAAGCTCTTTGGTCAATGGGGGGATTTACATATATAGTACACAGAACCATTAAAATTGCGTATCTCACAACTTCAATATTTATACTGTCCAATACCTCATTAAACTACATTAGATGATCTTGTTGTCGGAAGCGCATGTGCCCAACTCGTTCGCGACTAAAATCATCTTTTATTTAGATTCGAGCTGGTGGGGATCGCCTTGGCTGTGGGTGCAGAGCTCTCTTGCGCACGGCTTGGGATGGGTGTGGCAAGATGACTGGATTAGGAATCTTTAACAGGGGTGTTAATATGTTTTTTATTAGAAAGTTTTGGGTGTTATGGGCCTAAACATTAAAATTTGGGTGCGATGTGTGCAATCTTAGTAGTTTTGAGTGTTATGTATGCGAGTCCTCCTATCATATAACAGCAAAATATGTTACTGTTAGAAATACCAAGTGGGTTTATATTCATCAATACACTTAATAGTGCGTCACAAAATAAGTGCAACTTTTGCCATATGCACAACTTTGGCCCTTTGTCGGTTTACTTTCTATGTATTTACATACCGTGCTAGTTGAATTCAACTTTTGACATTTGGACAACTTTGCCCCTTTTTCGGTTTACTTTCTATGTTTTTACATACCATGCAAGTACTATGCATTTACATATCTAATAAATAAACTTTATTTTTTACATTTATACCACTCAAATTTTTTATTTCTGGTCAAAATATCACAATTTTGACTTTTAGAGTAAAATATACCTTTTCATGCATAGATAAGTTGGCAATGTGGGTGTGAGATATGTAAATACATAGAAATGAGTGGTGTGTATGTATATCTTTCTTTCTTATATAACTCATTCCACAAGCTGCAGAGCATTAAGACATGAGTGGTGTGTATGCATGTCAATTTCCCAAAAGAGAAATGTCTGCAGTTAAAACCAACTAACACAAGAAACTACCTTTTTTTTAAAATATAAGTATTGAATCAATCTGAGCTATAACATTGGTTTATGACTGGTTTTTGGATTTTCTTTTATCAGGTTCCACCTTTTCCGAGAAGATGATATATTGGGGACGCTTAAAGAATGATGAGAGGTACAGCCATAATTGATGAATTGGGTGGGCATGAATGTATCATTTTGTTTTGTTTCTTGTATGAAACTGGCTTATTATCATTATCATTATGAAAACTTGAGAGAAATGAAATTTTCATGGCACTGACTGTCATGTTTTGAGCATAACTTCATTTTTGAATAATATACATTGCTTCTTTATATATATATATATATATATATATATTTATTTCTAGAATAAAATTAAGTAGTCAAACATCGATTCCCCCAAAGGGTTGAAAACCCTGGGTTGCTTGCTCTTGATTCGAAGAGCCCGTGCCACAGGATTTGAACCCCCAACCCGAGGGACTTATGTCAGATGCTGCATCAATGAGCCAGGTCATTCGTGCGCACATGCGCGCACGCACACACATATTCAAAGGTGTAATTTTTGGGTTTGGATTTTTGTTTAGCTTCTCCATTGTAGTTTTGAAGATAATTGCATTTTAAAACAAACAAAATTTAATACTGAATTTGAAAGATTTAGAATGAGAATATCACTGCAATATTTGAACGCTAATTTAAGAGTAATTTTAATTGTTTTTATGTAATAAAAAAATGCTCCAATTTCTGAATGATATTTGATAGGCTTCTTCCTTTGTTGCAGTCAGGAGAAACATTTCTAGACCCTATCTTTCAAACAATGTAATAAAGATGATTTTCATGAACACCACTCAACTTGTATATGCTTACATATGGAACTCCTAAATTTTAATTTATATATATATAACCTAAACTTCATTTTACATATATATATATATATATATATATGCCGACTTATCTATACATTAAAATTGTAATTTTCATATATAAGCCGTCTTATCTATATACATTAAAAAGTGTATTTACTTTTGTTAAAATTAAAATTTAAAATTGGTGTAATATTTAATATGATATGAAAATTTTGGATGGCAAAAATATAAAAAAGTGAAATTTATATGTTTTAATATGCAATTACATAGGAATTGTGTGGTATAATGAATGTATGTAAGCGCGTCATTTATTGAATATCTCTTCAAGAGGAGCTTCTTTTTTTTTTTTTACTCGAAAGTAATTAATTTATAAATTTTCTTACTACTACTTAAGATTAATGCCTTGTTGAACATACAAGGCAACTCATTATTTAAATATTAGAAAGCCTCTCTACATCAAAAGACTGTGTTCTCTTCAAAAACATAAATAAATAATAATTATATTTTTCATTTTTTTTTTTTAAAACAATGAAATTAATTCTATCATTGAAAGCATTATATGGAGAAAAAATAATTAATCCAAGGGGTTGAGCATATTAGGGGCAACATTTCAAGGAAGTTGAGCTTACTTTACATTATTTTAATCAAATATGGGCTAGTAGGTTTGGGGTGGTCTAATAACTTAAAAATTTTGTAATTTGTTAGGGTTGGAGAAGACCTTGAGTACCTTATATAGATTTGACCTCATAATATATGCTTTGATTGCTTTATTTGTTTCCCTTCACAAGCCATATGCTAGATATAAGACAATTCATTAAAAAGAACACAACAATTTTATACACAATAACAAGTAACTTTTTTCTTAAAAAAAAAAATCTAGTGCTATATTGTACTACAAAATGATTGACCTTTTAATTTAAATAGACCCATCTTACAATTTGAATGACAAAGAATTGCCTTATATTTTATACAATATTTATTTTTTTTTTAAGTAAATATCTATCACCCGTGATTTTTTTTAAAATTATATTAGAATATACATATCAAATTTCAATAATGATGAATTTTAAAATTATTAAATTTAGGGGGCATTTACATAAATAGTGCTCAATTCTTATGGATTTATGCATCTCACACCAAAACATTCATTTTTAAGGTCATAGTACCAATTTCTTTGATATCACATAAAAAAAAAACACTAATTATACTTTTTAATGATCAAATCCTTTTTTCTTCATACATATGTTAAGAGCGCACACACGCACACAGATGTTAAGAGCGCACACACACACACGCACACACACACGCACGCGCACACACAAACACACAAGTTCTATTATCTTCTTAACTCTCTTTCAATCTAATGCCAAAATAATTAATGAATTTGCTTGCATGTCACCAAATTTTTACACATTTAAACATCCAACATCTAAACATTTTATAACTGTTTATATAACACCATATGATCTAAATCATATCAACATATGCATCAAAAATATTTTTCACTTTCACTAAATTAATTGCCGATATTTTGATATGATTCATAATTAATATGTCATATAAATAAATATTGAAGAATTACACATTAAATATATAAACATTTAAAAAATATAAAAATTAAAATGTAAGGCCAAAAAAATTAATTAATTATTTTTTTGAGAAGTTAATCTCTTAAGAAGAACCTTCGGCCGACGAATAATTTCTCCAAACTTCTGAATCCAAATCCACGTCTTGCTTATCCATATAAACTCTCATCGTCTCGAAAAAAATATTACGTTCGGAGTCCTGACGAAAGTTGTGTCCAAACAACGGCTGCGATCCACCGGAAGGAGCATAGTAGGAAAAAAAACGACATCCGATGGAGCGCAGCTGTTATCTGGTCCCAAACTGCCTCCGAATGTAATATTTTTTTCCTTTGTCTCCTCCTAACCATTGTTCATCACAAAATTAGGGTTTACTAGAACTGGATCATCCTTTTCATAGTCCTTTGACGACGAACACTCCCCCCGCGTCACATTGTAAGTCAAGTACCGTAAACCTAACTGGCATGCCGGCTCGCCATAAGTTGTCTTGATGACCCAATCTAAGCCGAGTGGGATGATCTGGATGAGATCTGATTCGGGTCGCATGAATAGAAGGTGAGTAGTGATTGGCAGTGTGGATTCTTTTCCCATTTATTAATGAAATAATGAAAATACTCTAACTACTTATCATCATGATCATGATTAATTAATTTTAATAGGATATTTATCTTAATCTAAACAAAAATTATTTAACAATTCTGATTCAATTATTTTATTTTAATTTGAAATGTCTTGTTCATTAAAAAAGATGAGGATGAACAAAATAAGTAAAAAATAGTTTTTCAATGGTCCTGCTTGTAAATATTTATTATTATAGGGACAAATATAGCCAAAAAGTGGCCCTATTACATTCTTGGGTCACATATGAATTTGAGGATAACATTATTTTCATTTATTATTATTTTTTATTTTTGGTAGAAATGTTTCTATTTTATATTTTTTTAGGCTTCAATGCATTTTTTAGAATTATTGCTTAAAAAAGACCATGGCCAAATTTTGATAAAAATATAATTTAAAGGTAATAAATTTTATGATAATTGTAAAAACATATAAATGATCATTAAAAAAACTCATTACAAATAAATCCAAGGGCCTTCAAATTTCTTTTGTCATACAATTTTATTATAATATTTTGTGCAAATTTTTTTTTATATGTTAAAAATCTCAATTCTTCTAAAGATATGTTCGAAAAAGTTGCAACTGTTTGAAGAAATAGTTATTAAGTTTATGGGAACAAATTGTTATTCAAAATATTATGGTGGCTTTTATAATTTTTTTACTTGTTTTTTAGAAGTCTGACAACACCCTTTTTATGGTCGATTGTAAAATAAAGCTTCCTATCACAATATTATGAAAAGACGAGCAAAATATAGTTTTGTCAAACATCACAAAATAGACTGCAACACTGCACCGTCTACACGGTACAGGAGTTCATGGAACAAATAATGCCATAATATTTTTTTATGAAAATTTTCCATTATCATATGTATAAGTATTAATTGTTTCATCCCCATATTATAACTAGAGATTCTTGGTTAAGTGTGTTACGTGGACTTTCTGGCTTGCAAAAGCTAATAAATTTGAACAAGTTGTGATCACTTATATACTTTATTTTCTACTATTAAATAAAAACAAGAAACAAATATATATGTGATTAATTTTTCTTTTAAATAATCTCGATTATTTTAAATCAAATTAAAACGTTAACTAATATGTATTAGTCATATTACATGTGTTCTTACTAGGGGTGTAAATGTTGTTTGTGTTCGGCTCATTTATATTTTAAACACAAAAAACGTGTTCGTGTTTGGCTCGTTTGCTTAGCGAGCCGAATACGAGTGGTTTGCAAACAAAAAATCATTTTGACAATCCTAATCACACAACTGTAGGATTTTAAGAGTTAAGGGGATATTGAAATCTTATTATTTATATTAAAATATCATTTAAATATAATTTAATATATTTTTATTCTATTTTTTTAGTTAATAATTTTAATTGATTATAAATCTTTATAGCCTTGTTGTCAATTATTTTTTTTTTAATATTACTCATATATATATATATATATATATATATATATAGATACACACACGTGTTCACTAATGAGTTCAGGTATGAGATTTTGGATCTTTGGTCCTGATTGGTTTGATGTTGGAGTAGGAATACATTTAATACTTGGTGGTAGATAATGTGCATAGAAAAATTATTGTGACTTGTATTAGTTTCATTAGAATTAGATTGAATATACGTTCCTAATGATTGATTATTAGATCGAGTAGGATTGTCAATTGAAGGATAATTAATGAGAGTATTAATGAATTGGTATGTTAGAACATTAATTAAGTCTTTTATTTCATTTTCAGTTGGAGAGGGTTCTTCTACTGAAATGATTTCAGTAATACGAATAGCTCCTTGGATATTTCCTTGAGAACTATGCTTAGTTTGATTTATCCAACCACGAATATCTAGATGAGAGGAAAATCTTTCTACGTTGCAACATTCAATGAGAATAGCTACGGTAGCTATATTACTATTTAGAATTTGTTGATTCTGAATTAGTCTTAAACCCAATTCATGTATATTACAAGTGCTTTCTGTGTGGGCTATGTTTTTATATCTGGATTGAATAATATTTTTAAAGAGTTTAATTTTTCGAATCTACTTTGATTTAACTCCATAAATTAACAAGTTGGCCGTTAAGTATACTTTCAGAATATATCCTAATTCAACTTGTTGTTTTAAAATCACATAGCTAATTATAATCCATTCATTGGAATTTCCTAATTGAGACTTGATATGAAAAATTTGCACTTTTGGAAAGACTTCTAATTGTTTATTTTTTATTTTTATTTGT